TCCGAAGGTGAGTATCGGAGCAGACAGGGGAAGCGTAGGAGGATAACGGGAGGGTGGAGGTGTTGTGAAGGGGGAGCGGAGTAGTAGGAGGGTGGTGAGAGGTAAGGAGGAGGTGTGTTGCCAGGACCGAAGGTGAGTATCGGAACGGCAGCGGTAGGTTATGACTCCGGAGGTGAAGAGGGTGGAGGTCCGGAAGTTGGGTCGGGGTCGGGTATGCACGGATATGACAGTGAGGAAGGACAATAAGGATTCTAGGCACAGTCTGACCGCAGTAGAGCCGCAGTTCACTGCAGCAAAGCGCAGTAGAACTATAGCGTGAAATTTTCATTTTTTATTCAGTTTGAGAAAAATACACTGTAAATAAATCCTGTAAATACGAGGTAGAGCGTGAAAAAGGAAGGCAACCCAAGGAGTATAAAAGGGAGACCCTTTCTGCGACTTTTTTCCCCCCTTAGAGAAGTAAGAAAATAGAGTATTATTTTTCTCAAGCATTTCTGGTTGTCACTCCAGTGCGAAAAAGTGATATACAGTTAAGATTGCCACTGTAGTAAAAGGCAGCAATAAAGGAGAGAAATATTAAGTAGATATTTCAACAGGAGAGCTGGTTAACACTCCAGATTTCAAAGTGTAAACACAAAACAGTTATTTTGCTACTGTTAAAACGAGCAATAAAATAAGACAAAAAATAAAACAAACTCAAGGGACACTCCAGACACAATCCAAATCCATTAACTGAGTAGAATCTTTGAAACTTCACCAAGTAGAAGATTTAATTCAAGTTAAATTCCAAATTAAACAATGCTACACAGAATTACACCTAGACAAATTAAGAAATTTCAACAAAGAAACAGCTCCACAGGGCTCGGTTTATCTGTAAGTCAATTCCCAGAAACTTTAGACTAACCCATAAAAATAGAATTAGCCAAAACACTCAGATTGGTACTATATTTACAACAAATAATACTAGTACACTTCCCCATCCTAACTGAAGAACCAGGGAACAGCTTGGTGGTGGTCTCATTTGAACCTCCCAACTGACCTTCCTTCGTTCTCTCCTTCAGCATGGATGTTTGTATCCTTCATATGGGCTTCCATGATTTATTTCAGATTTTTCCCTCATGATCTAAGGTTGTTGTGCACTTTCCATGCTTTGTTTTGACCGGGCTCTTCCTTATTTGGACAGAAATTGGTCTTCGCGATCTGCCAAAGTGCAGATCTCAGTTCCGACGGCCGGTTCCCTTCGCATTGCCACCCTCACGTGTCTTTAAACATGATGCGGACTTCTGTCAGAGACCAGATCGAGACAAAGGAAGGTCTCCATGGTGGAGGGCTTCGGCCTCAGTGACTTATGCCAGGAGCGCTGTGCCAAGTAACATGTCCATGCCCTAACTTACTAACTGGCAACCAGAACTAAAAGGGGGTAAACTCTAGTCGATTTTATTACTGAGGTGTAACCTATTTACAAGTCAAGTATATATAGTTACAGTGGGGGCGGGCCCATAAACGACGGGGCCAAGCAGAGCAGAGCTAATGGGGTTAAACATTAGCCGATCGAATATTACCGACAAGTCGGGTTATGGGGTTAGCGGAATGGTAGGCGATAACCCAGAAACGGAAAGGAGGGATAGGCCCAAAGGTGGGCTTGCAGGGCAAGCAAGTGTATTGCCCAGCGGAGGTGGGAGTGCGCTAGCGGATGTTGGAGCTGTCCGGAAGCCTTCGGGGCTCCGTACTTAGGGAGGCATAGGTAATAAATTGAAAAGAGGGGGTGGTGACCATCAAAGAGAAGCGGAGGTGGTTGCAGAATATGGGAGCTCCAAGGTCAGTGAGGAAGGAGCGGAGGTAGTCCAGAGAGTTCGGAGGTAGTGGAAGTCGATGGCCGAGTATGGATATGACAACTTCTATATTCCCATCGTTGGTATAACTTCACAACGGCTGGACCATTTGGGCTGAAAATTTGATAACTATAGTTCCCTATTTTTCATAATTTCCGTGTAAATTTCGTTGTATGTTTTAATTATGGATCCTACATAAACATTGTCTTTTCCCTGAGCCTGGACTTTTGATGTCGCTATTCCTGTTATTGGATATCTCATTAATGCGTGATCCTTTTATTATGAAAATTTGGGTGGATTAAGATTAGATCCTTTCCTTTCTAATGGGCTATCAAGCTCATCTCGGTCGTTACAGCTTGTTCTTCGCGCTTGCCTTTTAAACGTTGTCCTCGTTTTCCGGGAGTTTTAGTCATATTTCCATCGTTTATGGGTAGTTTTCCCTGTAATTACTTTCATTGGGTCCGTTTTGGGGACATCTACATTTCCTATTATAAACACGACTTTGAATTTTGCATTAGTTCCTAAGGAATCCTTGTTCCGTGGTACTTTCATCCTCAGCTACGTGTGCGGACATGGGAAAGTAGTTTCCATGGAGGTTCTCTGATTGTTTTTATAGTCAAATCTTGGTCGATGGTCCTAATTCTTTGTTTAGTATTTGCTATAAATTCCCCCGAGAATTCCGTCTTGTTGATGCTAAGCTTGAAGTATTTTTGCTAATTTTCTTTCTTTCAATTTATCGCATGTAGTCGTAATAATTTGTAAAAATTCGTCAAAATTCGTCAAAATTCATTAAAATTCAGGTCCTTCTATTTTCTCATATCTACTTGTCATATGGGGTTTTGTGATTTATCTGGCATATTTCCATAATGGGTTTCCATAGTGTGACCATTATTTCTCCTACAATGGGAGAGGGGTTTCTGTCAGAACCGTGCGAATCTTCGCCGATGGTAGCCATAGGCGACCAAACGTTGCCCGCTAGTGGTAAAGGCATCCTACGCACGACCGAGCTTTAGTGAGGGATAAACCCCGCCGATCTCGAGGCCGAGGCTACTTAGGCAGGTGAGCCGGGATTTCGGCTTCAACGACTCGAGGAGGAGTGTTGCGCCTCGTTCTCGACGCGGTCCCGATACTTCAGAAGGTCGGAGGTCTTACGGGGACAGAGGTAAGCTTTAGGGGGTAATTCTAGTTGATTTCGAACTACAGTACAAGCATTAGTTACAAGCTGTATATAAGCGCTAGGGAACTGAATAGGGAATAAGTCGCCAGATCTCACGGAGATTGCGGGCGGAGAAAAGAAGGAGGAAAACAAACAAAGAGCACGTGTTCAAGACAGCGAAGGTCAAGTGTGACCTTCGCCACGAGGTAACAAGGTGCGGAGAAACATGGGACAACAGGTCGCGGCGCTCTGCGCCGCTAGGTCGTTCAACGACAATTAGGAGAGGGGTTGTGGAGAGGTGACGGGAAGTGGTTAGATGGCGACGGGCGGCGAGCAGAGTGTGCGGGGAGTGTTCGGGCATGGGAGAAGGTCAGGGAGGAGGTCGTCTGGCCCCGGGGAACGCCGGGTTGTGACAGTTTCTAAATTAGAGAAGCTGCAAAACTCAACTGGGTTTCTTGCCAGACGACTAGGACCAGGCTGTGAGGGTTCAGGGGACAGTGAGGCAGAGTTAGGGACTAATGTGTATAGTTGCAAACAAGTGCAAGGGACTTTGGGTGCCATACAAGATGTGTACTTGTCAGGGAGTGATAAAATACCGTTAGAGACCAGATCGAGACGAAGGGGTTGTCTCTGTGGCAGAGGGCTTCAGCCTCAGCGACTCAGACCAGGAGTGCTGTGCCAAGTTACACATCCATGCCCTAATTTACTTACTGGCAGTGAGAACTAAAGAGGGATTAACTCTAGTCGATTTTATCACTAGGGTGTAACCTATCTACAAGTTAAGTATATATAGTTACAGCAAGGGTGGGCCCGTGAATGGCGGGACCGAGCAGAGCGGAGCTAACGGAGTTAAACATTAGCCAACTGAATATTACCAACAAGTTGGGTTACGGGGTTAGCGGAATGGCAGGCTATAACCCAGAAACAGAAAGGAGGGATAGGCCTGAAGGTAAACTTGCAGGGCAAGCAAGTGAATTGCCCAGCAGGGGCGGGAGTGCGCTAGTGGACGTCAGAGCTGTCCGGAGGCCTTCAGGGCTCCATACTCAGGGAGGCGTAGGTAATATATTGAATTGAGGGGGTGGTGACCATCAAGGGAGTCGGAGGTGATTGTGGAATACGGGGGCTCCGAGGTTAGTGACGAAGGAGTGGAGGTAGTCTGGAAGGATCGGAGGTAGTGGAGGACGATGGCCATAGATGGATATGACAACATGGGTACCATGCCACTGGATGCACTGTGCACCTCTACTTGTAATTCTCTTCTTTAACACTCAGGATCACCCATGGAGCCACCCACGATAGCCTGGCTCCATCCAGGGGTGACATGGCATCCTCACATGACCAATTCCCACTTGTATATAAACTGAGCCAAAGCAGAACCGAAGAAGTAACCTTCTTCTCATTTTCTGCTTCAGGCAAGTACCCTAACTTAGTTTAGCCCTTCATTTTAATAACAATACATTTTCTGCTTCTGCTAGAACAGGCAGATTCGGACAACTCCGGAGTGGAATCGGAGACTTAGCATGGAAGGACCTCGGCCTCAGCGACTCAGGTGGAGCGCTGTGCCATTGCTGGTTGTCCTAGGGGTCCCTAATTTCGGATCTAGCAGAGGGGAAGTCTCTTGGGGGAATTCAAGTCGATTTCGGACTGAGGTTACAAGTTACTAGGTACATTGTATATAAGGAGGGGTCCGGAATCAAAAGGAACAAGGGTAGGACGAAAGGAGACAAAGGGAGATGGAAAGAGGAACAACACCAAGGGTCAAGGGTTTGACTCAATGGTGTTTCTCAAAGGAGGAATGAAGGGCCAAGGCCCAAGGAGGAAGGAAGGAGGATGGGAGTGGGGAATGGCCAGCTGACTGAATAGAAAGGAAGCAGCAGCCCAAATAGGAATGAGGGAGTATAGCGGAACTGAATGGAGCAATGCAATAGTTGCAAGGTCCGACGTAAGTCCGGAAAGTCCGAACTCGGAAGTTAAACTCCGGAATATTGGCAAACATAATTAAATGGAATGAGCTAACCACTACAATGGGTATAAGCGGAGGTGGGGTCAAAGTCCAAGGTCGGAGCTAAGACCGGAGGTTCCGGAGACAGAGACGCAACCGGGATTCCGGAGCAGAGGTCCGGAGTCGGGAGCATAGGTGTTGCATGCTTGTCTGGGAGGTGTTGAGGTTGAGGTTGGACCTGGAATGTTCCAGAGTCAGACCAAAGGTGGTGTCGGAGCCGGAGGTGGGATAACCTCTTGGGAGTCGGCAAGGGGAAGGTGACGGAAGGGAAGTAGGGCTCCGGAATCAGTTTCGGAGTTCCAGGAGCCCGGAGTGGAGGTCGGGATTGTATGGATATGACAGCTTCAGCCTAAGAAGCCACAGAGGGACGTGAGCCCAAGAGAGGGCTATCCACTACTGTGGTATAACAACCATAAGTTCAGTCGCATGTTGCATGAAGGTTTTGAACTGAACTAAAAATAGTGTTGTTGCATGTTGCAATGGAAATTTGAACTAATCTGCAACTATATTATGTAGGCATATCAAGAAAATTTTTGGCCAGCCAATGCCATTGTTACCACCCATCCCACCATCTATTTCGTGCCACTAAATCTACAGGTTCCCTCATCCTCTCCCCTTGGTGCACCGGCTCCAAAGGGATTGAATCCCTACTACAAGAAACCAAGCTGCCATTGTAGTCATCATCACTTGAACCATCACCAAGCAATGAATTAGAACCCATATCATTGGCATCCTCCTCAGGAAAGTTGTTATCCAGTTCATTTGCAAGCGTAGGTTGGGGCTGAATGGATTTCATGCCCAGCTGAAGCAGATGGCCCTCAGGAATCTCCCCAGTGAGAGTGTGGGCAAGTGCAGCACTGAAGGGGACATCGGATGGCTCATTATCGTCAGACAAAAATGGAGGTTCATCTGATTGTATGCCATCTGTATGTTGAGCGGTACTTTGGGGACTGAGCGTGGTTTGGAAAACTCCGAAAAGAGTGGTGGATTGTCGATATGGAGGGTCCTCAGGGGCATAACAATATTTTGCTGATGCCTTGTGCCCTCAATAATGTCACATACACATTGAACAGTGTTAGGCTTCCTGTCATGAACGTCTTTCCTTGAAGAGGATAGGTCGATCGCTATCCAGGCGACGCTGTCAGGTGGAGCTCAGTGTTCCAGGTTGTCTGATGGTGGGTCAGGGACAGACCAGAGGTGGGGTGGAGCTCCGAGGGTGATGGGGTGTTGAAGGGACTCAGCTTCAGTGACTCGGAATGGAGCACTGTGCCCAGTACGTTCTCGTTGTCCCCATTTGTCAGGGGAGCTGGCAATGGAGGAACCGAGGCCGCCAGCAGAAGGGGGCCAGAGGCCCCCCCCTCACTACTTAATGGAGGAGGCGTTAGCGAGGGTCAATCGTTCGTCATGCGATTCGTTGGGTGTTATACCAAGGCGTCTCTGGGAGTGCCTGTTACTCGGTTCTTGGGAGTGACAGACGAGTGGGATGCGATAGACGTCCTGGAAGAGGTTATTGGAGGGCTGAAGACTGTTTATATTATAACTGGGGAACTATTTAATAGAGGGGTATGCACGTACATATAGTGGAAACAGTTGGATCCGAAGGTAAACAAAGGTTACCAAGGGGAAGGGGAAGTAAATAGAAGAAGTCCACAAGACAAATAGGAATAGGTGAAAAGTCTGAATTATGTCTGAAGTTTTGTGGAGTGAGAGAAATAAAAGCCACCTGAATGGCAAGGTCTGGAAGCGTCTATGAACAAGCAGGGAACTACAGAGAAGAGGCGTCCGGAAAGGTCCGGAGCCTGGAAGTTGTAGTCCAGAAGATTGGGGTTGTAGAAAATATCAAATGATAAAACAATAAGATTATCAAGACCGGAGGTAAGATAGGAATGAGGAGGTACCGGAGGTAGGAAGGGGGATGGAATGACAAGTTGGGATTCATCAACAATGAGCAAGCCCATCTCCTTCGAACAAGGGGTCCAAGGAGGTGGGGGTATGATGGTAGAGGTCCAGAGGTGCTGTGGACGTAGGTGGGTGGCTGTCAGGGACCGACCCGGGGTCGAGAGTGTCCAGGTATATCGCCTGGGGCTGAGGGCCCGGTAGGGTGTGGTGCAGGCATGCATAACAACAGGCCCGAAGCAGACAAGGGTCCCTGGCCACTTAGGCTAAAGTGGGAAGTGTGTTATTATTATTATCAAGGGGAATGTAACCTACTTGCCTAAAGTGGGAAGTGTGAGAAGAAGGTTGCTTCTCAGTTCCCACTTAGGCTGTGTTTATATACATGTAGTTAAGGCCACATCCGTCCAGGTGTCTCCGCGAGAGATCCCAGGAGCGCCTGGTGTGTGAGAGGCCGCCCGGCAGGTCTGGGCATGTCGTACTGCAGCCGGGCCAATGGTACACTGATAGGAGGGAAGTCGTCTGTGTAATAAGTAAGGAAAGAAAGAAAAGAGAAAGGAGGGAGAAAGAGAGGAAGGGAAAAGGGGGGAGGAAGTAGGGAAGGAGTGGGTAGCGGGGAACCGGGTCAGCTGGGTGACAGGGGACCGGGTCAGCTGGGGCCGGGTCAGGTGGGTGTGCCCTGACAGTGGCAGAGCGGGAGAGAGTCGAAAGAGGAGGTAGTCCTAGGGTCGTTGGCATCGACCAGAGGCAGCGGAGAGAGATTGGGAGGGCTGGTGGAGGTCATAGGAGTCGTGTATGGATAGAGCAGGGGGAGGTGGAAGATCCGGGATATGACACTTCCTTTCAGAGGCATCCTGATGTCTGCCCATAAGTAGTCAATGGTTTGTCTATATGAAGTACTCCTTCCCTTCAAAGAAAAAATTGAGGAAATTTGTATCCGGTGCGACTACTGGACTTATCCGGAGCTCCAAATTCTTATGACGTAAACCAGCGTGACTGGACAAATGACATAAAATGGACAAGCCTGGTATCGAACCCAGGACTTCTAGCGTGCATCCATACACTACTCGCCCGTTATGCCAGGGGGGGGTACCCCTTCCCTGATGGTTTGGGAGATCACTTGATCCCTTCCTCCAACACTCGCCCTCAATTTGGGGTGTTAGCCTCCAAATTGATGTACCGTGGCTGTCCACCATGAGGAAATTTGTATCCGGTGCGACTACTGGACTTATCCGGAGCTCCAAATTCTTATGACGTAAACCAGCGTGACTGGACAAATGACATAAAATGGACAAGCCTGGTATCGAACCCAGGACTTCTAGTGTGCATCCATACACTACTCGCCTGTTATGCCAGGGGGGGGTACCCCTTCCCTGATGGTTTGGGAGATCACTTGATCCCTTCCTCCAACAAAAATTCTGTATGTCATTCATCATTGGTGTCTCAGTATGGTGTGTGGAGAATAATATCTTTTGCAGTTTTGCAGAGTTTCTTGCTTTGTTTCTGCTTTGTACTTTCTTGCATGTTTTCTCTTCCATGTACCAATGAAAATGTTTTCAGAGCTGTGCAGGGGACACGTGCAATGCACGCACTCTAGTGCATGATTTCCTCCATTTTTACCGTCTCCCACACTCCCTGTAAATTAGCCCAGTGGTAGATTTACCTGTTCAAGTATCCGAGTATAATGCCCGATGGGAGGCTAAGTGTTCATTAAGTGATTTCATGAGGTGCAGCGTCCACAGGGAATTGGATAATCGGGATTGGTCATCATGAATGGGGCATTGGGATGATGCAAGGAAATGATGATGTCAATTCAACACGTCAAAAGGAGCAATTACATGCATGAGCCCGCTAATATGTAGTAAACTCTGAACAGGTTCACCTCCAATCGCTAAAAGTTAAAAATTAGTATTGGCAGTTGCGATCCTTGTATATGCCCAGCAAAGTTAAAACCAACGTGGTCATACCACGCAAGTGCTAAATGAAGGGGGGTATAAGTCCGTCTAAATTGATGAATGCGATCATTCCTCCCTCTCCACCAATGTTGATATGGTTACCGTGTTCCGCGATTGGACAGCTAGGCTTGAAGTAGTCGGGTAGCCAACAAATACGCAGGGAGAGGTTTTTACGCTTGATGCAAAGAGCATTGTGATGAAGAAAGAGATCGGAGGGTGAAGATTTGCGGAAGGATGTTGAACTTGGGTTGGATACGTCGCCCAACTCCGGGAAGCTGAAATGTTTCGTCTCTTTCCGACCTTGAATGCGGAGTGTTAAGGTATCGATGGAAAATAAAATATGGTAGGGACGAAAATTGAGGTGTCTCTGCCCAATGCAACTCCTGTCGGCAATGTCCCAGGCACGCACTCTGCCACCCTTGGAGGCTGAAATAAGATGGCGTCCATCAGGCGAAAATCCCACACAGGAGATGGTGTCAACATGACCTTTCGTTGCCTTTGGCCCTCGAGTGGGTGATTCCATCGTTGCATCCCATACATGTACAGTGCCATCCAAAGATGCCGAGGCCAGATAACAACCATCTGGCGAAAAATTCACAGACCGAACCCGATCAGTATGCCCTTTCAGCTCTCGAAGAGGCGCTCCTGTTGCCGCATCCCAGATGCGCACTGTGCTGTCGTCTGAGGCCGAGGCCAGATGATGGCCATCCGGCGAGAAACCCAAGGAGCCGACACCATTGGTATGTCCCTTCAGCTCTTGAAGGGGGACTCCTGTTGCCACATTCCAAACATGTATGGTATTATCCGACAAGGCTGAGGCCAAATAACATCCATCTGGCGAAAACTTCACAAAATAGACGGTGGAGGCACGTTCCTTCAGTATTTGAAGAAGTGCTCCTGTCGATGCATCCCAGATACGCACGTTGCTATCATCTGAGGCTAGATAACGCCCATCTGGTGAAAAGGAAAGAGAATGGACAAAGTTATCATGATCCATCAATTCCCAGAGGGGCTCCCCTGTTGCGGTATCCCAAACTCGCACAGTGCGATCGTACGAGGCCGAGGCCAGACGAAGGCCATCAGGGGAAAATGTCACAAATGTCACCCAGTTAGTATGCCCCTTCAGTTCTCGAAGGCATGCTCCCGTTACCGCATCCCAGAACCGCACAGTGCAATCATCCGATGCCGAGGCCAGATGAATGCCATCTGGCGAATATGCAACGGAATTGGCCCCATCAGTATGTCCCTTCATTTCCCGAAGAAGCGCCTTCGTTGCCGCATCCCAGATGCGCACAACACCATCCATGTAGGCTGAGACTAGATGACAGCCATCTGGAGAAAATGCCGCAGAGCGGGGTTCACTTGGGCTGTGGATTATCCCCGGTTGCGGTGACCATGGTTGGCTGCTGTCCATTACATGAGAAATAATCCGGCATTTAACGACCCACTTCATCGGGAATGTTGCACCCAATGCACTATCCGAAGGAACAAACGGATGGCTACATCCAAGTATTGATAAGGACGAGGTCGCTAATGCAGCCCGGGATCGCTCGACCAGATGGCGCAAGCTGCGAATTACGTGGCATATACTGCTGACGGCTTTGGCATCGAACCCCTGAAAAACACAGGTGAGCAATGAACCAATAGTCAAATTTTCAACTTACAAGCCATTGTTCTAGTTTTCTCATGCCTCGGCATGCTTGGTCAATTTCACCCATGATTCCCATTGCCGCAATCCAGTGGAGAAGCGCCGGGACAGCGCCGGAAAGGGCCTTCATTATCTCATCATCATGGGGCTCGTCCAACGTACAAAGGAGAGTGACCCAATGACGACACACAAACTTCAGCTGCGTAGTCATCAGCCTCTCAAACTCAGGTTGGAGATCAGGAATTTCTGCATCTAGTTGGAAACGCCATAGCGTTGGCAACTGATCCAGCACTGCACATTGCCCAAGCAGCTCCAACGCGAAAAGCACCGTGTCTCTCCCCGGAGAGAGCTCAAAAAATGGATCCAGGTCACTTTTGAGCGAATCATAGGAAGGGCGATGCAGTGTAAGAGCATCTTGCAGCTAGTGGATAGATTAGACAGTTCACTACTCCGACTCCAGCGTGATCCACGTACAGATGATTCCAAGAGGTGTATGATACTCGATATTGGGGTGGTGAGATTATCTTGAAGTTGTTCCCATGATGGGAGGATCTGAACTAATTTACTAGAAAACAGGAAGTTAGCGGGAGTTGCGTAAAATAGGCCGTTCAGTGGAATAACCAATTAATTTACTAACTCGGTGAAATCGTTTGGGAAGATCCGTGCGCCTTGGGTTCCATAGAGTCCATGTAGGTATTCGTGTAATGTCCGTTGCAATGCGGCAAGGAGAGCTTGAGTGGATGTGGAGATTTGGAATGCGTTGGGTGGGGAACTATGATAAGCGGACTGATAGCTCAAACCGGATCAGTGACGGTGAATGACGGTACGCAGGCTATTCTCTCACATGATGCTGTTTTACAGTATCGAGGACAGACTTCACAGCCTTCCTTAGCCTTGAATCTGCCATTAAATCAGCGAATTTTATGATTGTCTCTGGATTGGCGTTAATGTCTTTGGCAATGTGCGAATATGTCAGAACTGTGATGCGGTCTCGTCTCTCAGCACCGATTGTAGGATGGTTAAGAGACCCTCTCTCATACTTTGCCCCGAACCTCCGCAGCAACATTTCCTGAATGATGGAAGCGAAAAACCAACAATTTTCCTGCAAGTAGTTAGTGGATCTCTGATGAGGACACCTGGTCGGCCATTGATGCTTACTTTGGTTAGCTTGTAACCAGGAGATTCTGCTGCGATTGCGTACAGAACTTGCGCAGCCGCAATCAGAGGAACGGGAGTGGGGAAGATCATGATGGCCTCTATGCCCGACTTGTTGTTGGTGAAATCAAGAAGGTGGTCGAGTCTACCAGAAACAGCAGCCTATCGAGTAGTACCGCCTCTTAGCTGCGGTAAAGACATCAAAGAGTTCGTTGCATACCGTATCTATCGCGCGTGACGTTCCCAAATCCCGTACCCCAAACAACAACAAGGGAACTTGGTGGTCCCGTCTGCGATCCAACCGAAGGTAGAACTCCCTTCCATCGGCTCGAGTGACATGCATGATGAGGAATCGATGCGGCACCCCTTGAAGATCGCCATATCGTTGAACGGACACGATCCTGGCATTTGCAGCACGACGACTGTTGAATAAGCTTTCGCAGAACGTTCGGACAGAAAAAATTCGATATGGCTTCGAGTCCAAGCATTCGGCAAAGAAAGCGCCCGCAGACGCAATGCTTGCGACTTTCTTCCTTAAAGACGATGTGAACGATGCAGAAGATGTAAAAGATGGGGCGATTGTGGATGAACCATCGGATAAAGTGGGTGTTGACCAGGAAAATGGGACGCTAAGTTGGGCACGGAGCATTGTAGAAGATGTGTCATCGGGTAGGGGAGGCTCGAGTGAGGGCTCGATTCCCTCATCAAGCTTTAAACTCGGATGAGTGAGGATTTAAGGCATCATAGTATTGATTCTTACTTCGAAGAGGAAATCGTCGACCGAGGCTGGTTCTGGGAAAGCAGGAGGCTCGATCACTACCGGCACAAAGCTTGGCGAAGTCGAGCTTGAAGCGAAGGAGGGGATCGTGTCATGGAAATATCCTTCGGCGGTGCTACGCTGAGACGGTAATAACATAGAGATCGCTTCTGATAAAGAGGTCGAACGTTTGAACAGGAAGTATCTAGGACTCCGCAAATAAATCACTCACCATCGATGGGATCGATGGAATTTTCGATGGTATTCCCAGCGGCGCCAGCAACAGCATCCCCGGAGTCCTGATGGCTTGGCGTTGTTACAGTAGGTGTAATAGAGGTCTGGGCCGAACCTTCGTCCTCCGGAAGAACCAATGTAGGAACGTTCATGTTTCTAGATGGAAGAGATCGAAGGTGGAAAATGACTTGGAAATGAAACCAGGCGCTAGGCCTGTCAGCCTCGTGACAAAGCCATCACCGTTGGGAGCACCAACCTACTGCAGATTATCCTCAATAATTTGAGAGCCTAAGTTGCGTGGCGTTGAAGCCGTCCGTTGTCGAGATGTTTGATCTCGTCAAAGTTTTTGATAATGGTGGGGGAGATGAGCAATGTCTACGGAGCAGAGGCGAAGATTCGAGAAGACGCGCGGCAAAGGTGTACTAGGGAAACGGCCACGTGGATGCTGGCAGCTCTTCATTTGCTTATGAAGGTCGGACTTAATCCCACTGCGGAATATTACTGAGTGTACCGAGAAAGGTACAGCTGGACGGCGGAGCATGTGCATTAGTACTCACACCACGACTCCTCAAAGCTTCATGAGGGCGCCTGAGATATGCGCTTGCATGCAGTTTCCGGGTGAAATCAAGTAACACATGTATCGGACGGCCTTTGGCAAGAGGTTCCCAAATCGAGCATCTCCAGTTGAAGGCAATTGAAGGCCATTCCTGTCGGGCAGATGCCGCAGGTCCGTCGGCCCTTGCAGAACCTGATACGTTAACTGGAGGATTTGTTGTGCGCACTGAGCACGACATACCGTTGTTCGTGTTCTACTTGTTCGTTTCAGTATCGATCTATCCGTCCTACTACTCTGTCCGTGCGGTGTCATGAATGTAAGCCTGAAGCATGTCGTGGCTTGCTTCCTCCTGTCTATTCCGATTTCATTCTATATCATGCTTCCCCTTCTCGGGCGGAATCTGCCAAATAAGACGACGCAAGGGACCACTCTCCATGTGCTTTCTTTTTCCGACGTTCAAACATGCGTCCTTGTCATTCTCCTTAGTCATCAAGTAAGCGTGTGGCGTGGGATTCGAACCCATGTGGCTGTTTTCCCTGTATAGAAATGGATCACCTGCTCTCCTGATATCTTTTCCTAGTACTAGTACTTGAAGTGGTCCTTTGCGAACCTCGCAGGCGCTTTGGACCATGCTGATCAGCTGTCCAAAACACCCATCAACATCGGCTCAGCATCGACATTATCATTTACGCGCGTTCTGAGATGCTCGCTACTTCCGGTGCGCCAAGACACATCCCCATTGCTTCGCCGGCTCCTCTCGGCGGTTGCGGTGGCATTGAGTGGAGTAGAGTGGCGCTACAATTTGGCTACGATGGCCTTTCTGGTTATTGGATCCGACCTCGGTCAGCGTTTGTCAGGTCCCTTAAAGTTCACATCAATATACACTCTTCGCGGTTGCTCTGTTGGACTGGTGGCACGTACATATTGCTGTTCTGACCACGTCAAATCACAATTGGAACAGAACTTCTCTTATGCAGTCCTTGTGTGCTGCCAAGTCGCCCTGGTTCTGCTTCGTCGTGATTTTGAAGCGATGCTGGGAACCACGACTAAGGATCGGGAGAGTGTGGCTTAATCATTCTTGATTCGTTCACACTCCGACATCCCTCCAGTCCATGCCGCGTCTATGTGCAGTCAGGCGATTCTTCATGACATGCCACACAAGTTACAATTTGACCCTCTCTTCCTCTACACCCCCCTTTGGTGAATGTTTGTACAACATTAACCCAGACCCGGGGCCCATACCATGAATATCCATACGCCTCCGAGGGTACACTCCCTGGCACCTTTCCACTTGGATCGATTGCGATGCGTCGTGCATGTTTGACATGTCTGGTGAGATAGATAGATTCTGCGTAGTGAATGATACGATCTTTTGTGCTGTGGATGACTAGGATGAGCTGCACGGTAATAACAAGGTGAAGATGAGTCACCCTCATACGACACAACTCCACACCAATTTGTTTCGAATGTCTTTTAAGGATCAAGAGCTTTTCCACTTTCGCTTTTCCTTCAGATGTCCTTCGAAAATCTACATCGTAGCCAAGCTCAACCATAGGTCTCGCAATCATCATTTTCCTCTCATCCGTAAGTCGTCCATCAACCGGGGGTGGTTTGGCAAGATATTCAATGAACTCCGGGTCACCGCAAGGAATTTTTGTCGTTGTAACTGCGAGAAGAGCATGGTGTATCCGAAAAGGAACCGCACACGTGGTGTGGTAGAAGTGAGGATGAGGATTTGTTGGAGAATAACGCCCCTCATCGACCCACTGCATGCATCTATGCCTCTGAATCCGAGATGACCGATGAAGGTGATTGCATCTTCTGCCATGGATAACGTGGTAATTTCTTCCCGCTTGCTCGCCTTCACTACGGAAGCTCCGAAATCTCTACATGAGGCCGGTCTGCATTCGTGGGCCACCAAGTTGTTCATATAATCCATACCGGTGATCGAATACCAATACTAACGCAGTGTATGAGAGCGAGCAAAACGCCATTAGAAAAAATTAACAGAAGTTGGGCGCTGGAAGAGATCTTTTGGCTACATCGAACCCATGGAATACAGCTTGAACTTGAAGCTTAGACCTCGGGGTTTTGTTACATTCTGTTTATGATTGTTTGTGTGCAGAATGGTTCAAGCCTTTACGCACAGATATCTGGTTGGATCCTCACTCACTCTGCTATCATGGAGTGGAGGAAGGCACATCCGGAGCTCCCCGACCGACCCTACTGCATCGGCTTTCCCGTTCATTCAAATGTCATGTCTGTCCTTGACCTGGCCATTAGGCGAGGTACTCCCCATTTTTATCCGCTTAATATTCGCCATTTGCTCATACTTGCGTGATAGTCTGGCTTGGATTCACTATTTGTTTTGTTCTGAACCCGTTACCTATGTTTGCAAGATCATCAAGGTATTGGTTTTTGAAGAAATTCTTGACATTGTTCGTCTCTGGTCTCATCCCTGTCGAGGTAGGCATGCTCTTGTTGGGAATTGGCCTGCTGAATGTAATGGGGTATCCGTATTCTTAGTTTTCAAGCAAGCAGAAATGTCACTACTAATAGGAGGGCTAACGCGGAAGCTCAGTCTCCGTTGTAGGAATATAAAAGTTACAACACTAAAACAACCAGAAACCATCACAAAAAATTGGATAAAAATCATACAACCTCCACGGACCAGAAATAAAAATAGGAATAAAATCATAACTCAACAAAATGAATTGAAATAAAATATCGGAAAAATAATGAAGAACAGAGTCGATGGATTGAGTATCTACGCGAACTTTCAAGTCTAGGGATTAAAAGATGGTTCAGAAAATGAAGAAAAACAGCAAATAAACTCACATGAAAACAAAAACAAGGTTTCCTGTATCAAATAAAATATTAGAAATTCGTGGTAACGTGGGAAAATAGTTTTACGAACGTACGAAACGAATGACAAAGAGAAATCGGAAGGAAATCAAGGCATTCATATAATGAAAAATGGTCGGGTACGAGGAAAAGATGAAAGAATTGGAAATATTTATATGAGCAAAATAGGGAAAAATATGAATCTTTGTCGGTCTTAAAGAGTTGAAGTATAGGTCTGTGTTCGAAAAGATTTCATGTTAAAATCTGAAGAATTGAGGGAGAAACGGATTTAACAAGATTAAAACACACTTGCAGAGAAGACTGGCTCAAACATCCTGAGTTTGTGGTAAAAACGGATGAGCTAGAAATGCGAAACTAAAGAGTTTGAGTCCAGGAACGAGGCATAATTTATCCAGAATTAATTGTAAGAAAATGGATGAGCTAATGCCAAAGCAATCTGGAGAACCTCAAAATTAAATCTTGAAAAATTCATATCTTCATAAATAATCCTCGTAGTTTACTGTTGTTTATACCGACGGAAAGCTACACCCTTAAGCTAACAAATAACCCCATGACATGTGACTTAGAATAAAGTGAGTAAACAAGGGTAAACAAGGTCATGATGGGTGTTAGGCAATGCAATTGGCTAATTCCCACACCAAAACTTCCAGAAAGTTCTAGAAGCAGAATGGGATGCTGATCGCTTACATAAGAGGATTGCTAAGCTCAATATAAGATTACTCAGCAATGTAAATAGTAAAGTGACATGTGAAAACAGAGCCCTTAGGAAAGGTATAAAAGACCGCATTTTCTGGTCTGACCCCTCTTCCTTCTTTACTCCTCTCCCCTACGTGCTCTGGCTCATAGGTCATAAGGCGTCCTAATAAAAATTAAGTTTTATTAGTATAAGTGTGCAGTTCAGATCACATCTGAGTAAAAGTGATCAACCCTCAGTAAAAAGTTAAGAAGAAGTTAAGAAATAGTGACGTTGAGTCAAGTCGGTTGGAGTCGCTCCGAGTTAAAAGTGACAAGACAGAGGTGAAACGACTGAAAATAGTAGGTCTATAGCGTGATTTTCGTGTGGAACAATCAGGTAGACAAGTGAATTGAACCCTGAGAATTTCATACACACACAAATAATCAGTAACACATACAAATATCAATACACAAAGCAACCAAAACGCTACAGTGGTTGAGTTAAAGTACCAATACTAACATATAAGTATCAGAAGAAAGAACAGCCTTTTATAGGATTTCTGTTCTCCTCCTTCACCGTAAATGAAGAACTGAGGGGAAAAAGAAAATAGACCCAAACAATTACCTATATACAATGCAGTCACGGTATCAATACAACGGAAACGGAAAGTAAGATCATGTGAGTTTGGTTAGTGAGTCACGCGTCATTGTAACTCCAACAACTACCCCCAACATAATCAGCTCTGATCCATACTTCTGCAGACTTCTGGCTCGGTGACCAACTCTGCAGTCTTACATTCTCCCTTGCTTCCCTCTGGACTCTTGCATGTTCAGTCCACAATGACTGGGCTCCCGATGGCTATGAAAAATGCGGACTTGTGCATCATTGGCAGACGCCGTTTATTTTAAGCTGCATGCCTGTGAGGTCTCTGGGGGTAGCTCAGCACACAGAGCTGTAAGTGATACAAATGTGTGTATTTTATGGTAGTGTGTAAGCAGTTACCCGGAGGTTCCTGCTTACCCATGTGACTATATGTATCTAATTACATGTGGCTCAGGGTTCGGGGCTATTGCCCTGACATTCTCCCCCCTTGCGTTGCATTTGTGATGCATACAAGGTTGATAGTGAATAAAACAAAGTTTTAAGAATTGATTTACATTGAGTTTGAAATTATCAATGAGTGTTTTGTTGTCACCACTTCAAAGTGGGCGATTTTTGTACATGTCAGTGAAGGAGAGAGAAAGGGTTTAAGGAATAAGTGAGTGTGGGCCGTCACTTTGAAGTGAACGGCAATACATGGGTATCGCAGGGAGAAAAGTAGTGGAGTTTGTCGAAAATGAATTTCGACCCAAAGGTTGTATGTCTTTGGTGTTCCTCACTTGTTCCATGAGGGTTCATGTGTAAGTGGTGTTTACACATGAGCGGTGGTGGATGTGGGTCTTTTGATGGAGTAGAGATTTCCGCAATTGTTACTTGCAGTTCCTCGCATACAGTATTGTGTGCGGGGCCTCGAGTTGGGGGAAGGTGTTTTCACGGGTGCCTCAATGGCATATTACCATGTCACTTTCCCTTTTCTCAAGGGTGGAGTCATTGCCCCAGAGGAGGGTTTTCCTCCAGGTTGTTCATCTGGACATCCGATTGCTGCATCGGATGTGATGACATTGTCAGAAACTGTGTTCAAGGTGATCGCGGGAAGCAGAGCGGAGTATGGCGGTGTGAGTGGTCACTTAGCTAATGAGCTACTCCGTTGCAAGGTGTCATGGTGTTGGGACTTCGGCTTCAACGACTTGGCCAGAGCGTTGCACCACGCATTCTAGGCTGTCCCGTATTTCACGTTAGCGGGAAAGACCTTGCAGCGACGTTGACTTAAGCGGGGATGAAGTTGAGAGGTGAACTTAGGATGAGAGTACTTGGGGGGGAATTCTAGTCGATATTTGAACTAAAGTACATCAACAGTAAACTACAAGTATAAATACGAAAGGAGAACAGAGAAGGGGCTGGTCGGTCTGGCACGGGACGGGAACGGGATGGTAAGTATGACAGAACTAAAAGAGTGATGAGGACCAGGGAAATGGAACAGAAGAAATGAATGGAACAGAGGATGGCGAAGTTGGGAGGCACAGTAGGCCGACAATCTAGGTGCCAATATGGTGGCGGATCAGAATGTCAATATACGAATAAATCAGATGTCAATAAAGGAATAAACCAAATGTCAATAAGGAGTGGATCAGTGGCGAACATATCAACTGCTAGTTAGCTAAGCGAATGAATAGGAATAAACGGTATTGGCCGAATGGCTGAGGAACCCAAGTGGTGGTGGGAGAACAAAGGAGGCGCTGCTACAGGGCTGTAGAATGGGAACCACTATCGGCGCTGCTAAGTGATGGGCAATGGCGTGATTAATGGGCGCGAGTAACGGGGGTGCAGAAAGTGGTAGAAGGGCGGGGACTTTGCAGGGCCGTGACAGACATAGCCTGGGCTACATTGTCGGGCTGTGGGCTCGACGAAGTGGGCGCTCCCTGGGTGGGAGCGGGTTGTTGTGTTCCTGAGCTACTTGGCTCAGGTGTGGAGTATGGTAGGTCTACCATTCTTCCCGTGGGGAAGGGTGGTCATTGGGCTGGTTGTCCAGCATGAAGACTTGCATCTCTTTCCCGGTATTTGGAAGCTTTTGCTTCCCGTTCCGCAGTTCTTGTGGCACGTTCCTCAGGAGTCCTGAGTGGTTTGAACTGGGACTTTAGATAGGTGGCTTTGCCTAGACTTTCCCAGGAGATTTTTCCCTTGTTTTCTGGGGAATTATACTCCTCCACGAGTCTTGCAATACTCGGGAGTCCCAAGAAGTATTTCTCGGTTTCCTTCACTTTTCGCAAAAGGTTCTTTGTACCTTGCTGCTTTTGAAGGCGGCTTCAGCCTGTTCGTACCAGTGTACAAATTCTTTCCCACTCACGCTTGTCCACCAAGCGTATGCGGCGTCATGCGCCACTTCTGACCCTGCTATTCTCCTCATGGGGAAGTTGGGGTCGATTGTTACATCGACTGGAGCTTTGACTTTGCCGAACTTGTTGAGTTCGGCGGTCTTGTATAGCATGTGGACACTTCCCTGCAGGGTAGCTTGCCCATAGGGTGCTGAGGTACTCAGCGGCCCACCGCCTCTGGCAGTGGTCCCCATTTTAGGGTCTGCTGTTGGTTGCCTACCGCTCTCCCTCTTCCCCTCGACATGGGTTTGCCCTTCTGAGGGTGGGCCCTTATGCAACCTGGACAGGGTCGCCTGCCCATGGGGTGGCGGGATAGTCAGTGCCCCACCCCTTGATGCGCTAGTCCCCATGTGGGGTTGCGCCTCATGAGGCCCGGAACCATATCCCCTCCCCCTGACCTGGGAGGCCCCTGTCATAATGGGTTTGGCAGCGAGGTCTGCCAGTGCGCGTGCCTCTCTGAGCTCGCATTTCAGTAATTCGATCTCCCTTTTTTGGAGATCAACCTCTCTCTCTGTGTCTTTCAGAGAGTCAAAGATGCCCTCGGCATCT